TCGGTAAAAGGGATAGGTTTGTGGGATCCTCCAGTTGTGAGGAAGGTATAACGGTCAACCTTACTAATGAACCCCCATTCTCTTTAATAACACCCATATACCAGATTATATCTGCTGAAAAGAAGGGTATGACGTTCAGACTGAGGGAGCGATCCTCCAGTCTATTGTCACTACTGGAGGCCCGTCACCAATAGCCGCTTATAAGGTAATTCCCCCTAATGCGCGAGGTTCATGTGTCCTGGTGAAGCTTGTCCCTGCATCTTACGTTGCAGCCGATCGGGAGGAACTGATGGTGCAGAAGAAGGTAAGAAGGGCAGAGAGAGCTAGAAGGGAATTATTTTCCAACTCCGACCAGGCCTGGACAGGGTTTCCTGCTTAGACAGGATGGGGAATTGAACTTATGAAGCGATTGGACAATTTCTCGTCCATAGTGGATGAGATGTTCAATGAAACCGTTGAGACAGTGAGGGAGATCACCCAGGAACCACGACAGTAGCGTCCAAGGGGGGTTTCTGTGAATTTATAGGAGAGGACTGTTGTACCTGGATAGCAGACACCAGTGATATGGTCAAAAGCCCATATGGATAAGGTTAGTGCCCTGCAAGGCAGAGCTAGAGCTATAGCTAGTGAAGGTTGGAATCCTTTTAAAGCTTTGGGAGGTTTTCGGGATCTCTTGTTTTACATCGGATCCTGGCTAAAGGAAACAGGAGTATATGTACTGATGATGTTTTTGTTTCTATTCCTTCTATACGCCAGAGTGAGATGTTCCTGTTGTCTAATCAACCGAGTTACCAAAGCCTTAGCAGACGACTACATTTTTATTGCAGAGACGAGACGCCCTAAAGACCAACCTATGGACCAGATGCAGAGGATTCCAAACCAACCGGCGACCAACACGACCCACCACCTCATGTCCTCCCTCTGAGACACCTCCCGAAGGATAGAGTCTACCTGTCAACATTGATTCGCCGTTGTTTTCCATCTTCTGTTTTGCTTTATGGATTCAGGACTCAAACCACTTTTCGTATACAAGAGGGACCGTTTTTTGAAATTCAACAAAGAAGATCAAGATTCATCGAGGGACACTGGGGAGCATATGACAAAGAGTTGTTAACTGTTGTGGAAATTTTATTAGGATGTGTTTTTAGTATATTGTAATATTGTCATTATATCTCTCAGTGTCAGGATTGCTGGGCTACGCTCTACGGAGCGTGACCGGGATTATCAGCACTGAGGGTAAACCAATGGAGTAGATATCTTCCTCTTGTGTATGTGGAGACGCGGGCAGCTGTGCGCAGAGGTCTCCGCCGGCAAATGGTCCATGTGCTATGCGCTGGGCTGTTGGCCAGGGGAAATTGATGTGCATGGCGGAGCAGTGTCCTCTTGTCCACACAAAAATACCACCCCCATACACATATTAACCCCCCACCGCTGTTGTGGAAATGTTATTAGGATGTGTTTTTAGTATATTGTAATATTGTCATTATGTCTCTCAGTGTCAGGTTTGCTGGGCTATGCTCTATTGGAGAGCACTGGGTGTAAACCATTGGAGTGGATAACTTCCTGTGGATGTGGAGACGCAGCCGCTGTGCACGGGGGTCTCCGCCGGCGGATGGTCCATGTGCTGGGCTGTTGGACGGGGGATTGATGTGTGTTGCGGAGCAGTGTCCTCTTCGCGAGTGTATGGACGCCGGCGAGGGCCCCTGAGCAATGCGCGGATTTATTAGCTTGGCGTGGATGCATTTGTTTTGAGAACGCGGTATCATTTTAGATACATGTCTGCCTTTATGAAAGGTACATGCGTTTGTATCCTTTTGGTGCGTCTGATCAACGCGCTGGAAATAATATGGCTTGTCACTGCAGATAAGCTCGCATTCATGAGAACCGTACTATAATTTCTATTGGGCATTGCTCACTGAGCAATGCTGGATAAAGTTTGCTCCAGTGGTAACGGGAGATTATGTGTGTGTGGGTCTGGGAAGATGGCGGCGTCCATGGGCAAGCATGCTGCTGTTGCACATGGTTTAATTCTGTGCACACCACTTCTGCTCGGACACAAACATATACATGTGTTTCATTGGCTGACTCTGTTATGTCGATGTATGGAGGAAGCGATTGGCTGTTGGGGCCACCACTTTCTGTTTGTTAGTCCTTTGTTGTTATATAAATAAAAAGAGCGAGTGGTCAAGGGACACTTGAACACAGAAACTACAACTTGAACCAACAACTTGTCTTGACTCTACCTGGGACCGAAGAAGTACCTCCGTTCCATGTACGAAAGAGCTTAATACAATGTGCTTTTAAGCGCAACGGAATTGTTTGTGCTTGGCACACTTTAACCTAAGTCAAAGTACTGCAGCGCTGAATACTGAAAAATGGCCTGGAAGGGAAGGGGGTTTAACAACCCCGGATGTCAACTGGTTAATGCTGAAAGTGCACCTTTCAGCTCGGCGTGAATTTGTGCACTCAGCGCAAGCGAATTTCCATTACACCCTTCACCCCCAGTGCGATTGCCTGCAAAAATAGTGCTTGCAGCGTTTTTGCAGATCGCACTGGACCGGAACGCAGGCACTAATGTGCCTG